TTTTACTATAGGGTGTATGCACTTACCAGAGACACAGAGAGAGAGAATCACCCCTGCAGGGGGCATGGCCACGCTGCAATCCCTTCTCCTCCATTCTCCTCTCAGGATTTTGGGCATGCACACACTCACGGCTGTGTGAATTAAAGTTCCTGGTCCAGGACTCAAACTGCGGTCTACTCCTGGGAGCCCAGCCCAGTAACCATGGTGCCATCAAGTTCCTGGTCCAGGACTCAAACTGCAGCCTACTCCTGGGAGCCCAGCCCAGTAACCATTGTGCCATCTGCTAGTCCCTCTCTTGCCCAGTTTTAATTTGGATTATTTGTCTTATTATTATGTTGGAAATGTGTTTGAATGTTCTGGATACAAGTCTTTTATTAGATATATTATTTGCAAATATTTCCTCTAACTCTAATTTGTCTTTTCATTTTCTTAATGGTGTCTTTTGAAACATTTTTAATTTCAATAAAATTCATTTTATCAGTTTTCAAATTTTATAAATCATGTTTTTGGTATCATACCTAAGAAATCTTTGCCAAATCAAAGGTCATGGAGCTTTTTCCCTTCATGTTTTTTCTTAGAAGTTTTATCATTCTAGCTAACACATCTAGGCTGCTGATCTGCCTTGGGCTAGCTTTAGTGTATGGCGTGAGGTAAGGATCTCTGCACGCAGATGCCCAGTTGTCCTAGCACCGTCTGCTGACTGATGGTCCTTCCCCTATTGGCGACTTGGCTTCTTTTTCAAAACTCAGTTGGCCGTAAGTGTTTTGGCAGCTCACACCAGGCACATGTGTGTGCGTGCCCAAAGTCCCAAGAGAAGAATGGAAGAGAAGGGATTGTGATATGGCCATCCCCTCTGGGGGTGATTTCTCACTTACTCTTTTTCTGTCTCTCTGTGTCTTCAGTGAGCATACATGCCCTGATAGCAAAAACCTTTCTTTCAAAGAGAAAGAATATGGGCCCTTCCCATCTGTAAACATGGGCTATCTCTCTGTTTTTCATACCCTCTCCTCTCTACAGCCAGGTATGTTAGACTGTTTCGTTGTCTCCCACACTCTTACTCTCGACCTGCTTCTTTGCTTTCCTGTCTGTACCTCAGGCTAGGAATTTCTGTTGACGTGTGTTTGCATTCTCCTATCTTTTCAACTCTTGCATGACGTAGTCTGTCAAGTCTACCCAGTGATCCTTGACTGCAGATCATACATTTCCCGGGTTATTATTTTTTTAAGAGGTGTTTTTTGCTATAGAGTGTGTGCACTCACTGGGGAGACAGAAACAGAGAGACAGAAAGTGAAAAATCATCCCTTGTGTGAGATGGCCATGCCCCAATCCCTTCTTCTTTCTCCTCTCGGGATCTTGGACATGCACAAATGCACACGCACCTGGTATGAGTTTTAAGTTGCTGGGTCCGGGACTCAAGCTGCTGTCACCTACATGGGCATCCAGTGGCGTCACCATTACCAACCTGCTGGCCCTGACTCGCCAGTTTTATAGTCATTCCTCCTGTGAGTCCACGTGTCTTCGCATCCTCCGTTTCCCCCATTTTGTTCTTTTCTTCTAAATTTCTTTTTTTTAACTTTTTAAATTGTTTTATTTATTAATTTCTTAAGTTTGCTATAGGGTACACACATTCACCAGAGAGAGAGAGATAGAGAGGGAATGTGAGAAAGCAGCCACAGGTCTGGAACTCAAACTGCAGTCAGCCACACGGGAGTCCAGCGCTTTACCCACCATGCCACTTGCTGACCCCCTTTTTTTTAGAGAGGCTTTTGCTATAGGGCGTGTGCACTCACCAGAAAGACAGAGAGACAGAGAGACAGAAAGCGAGAAATCACCTCCCCAGGGGGGATGGCCACACCGCAATCCCTTCTCCTCCATTCTCCTCTCGGGATCTTGGGCATGCACGCACACCCGCCTGGCGTGAGTTTAAGCCACCGGGCCTGGGACTTGAACCGTGGTTGACTACATGGGAGTCCAGCGACATAGCCACTACTCTAACTGCTGGTCCCCCTTCTTCTAGATTTCTTAACCTAGTTACTCTGACTGTTTCAATGTCCTTGTTTGTAACTGCTACATCTAGATCTTCTGAAGCTCTGCTTTTAGCCCCCTCCTGCCCGCAGTGTGCTTCCTAGTTTGGGAGAGACGCCAGCCTCGCCCTGAAGGACTCATGTCCCTTCTCCCCAGGCGGTGCCTTCCCTGTGCCGCCGCGTCTGAGGGACTCATCACTGTGGCTGGTCAGGACGAGCATCGGCCCCACTTGGAATCTTCGGCCTCCCTTAGGCCCTCTGCGCCTCATGCCGTGGAGGGTGTGGCTTTGTTGCCTCCTGACCACTGTGGGCCAGGGGTGGAGCCACAGAGGGTGGGTCGTGGACAGCGCAGTGAGGGACTCGCCGTCTCCATGGAAGCGAGGTGTGTAGAGTGAGCGGAGCTTGCGTGACCCGTCCACACGCACAGCCGACTAGCAGCCAGTCTGCAGGCACGTGCCACTGCGGGCTGCGGCCCCCGGCTCCCCCACAGCACCGCCAACCGCCTTCCTGCAGCCAAGGAGCAGGTCTGAAGGCCTGGCTCCAGGTCCCTAGCACTCCTCCTCACAGGCCGGCCGCGGTGCTCCCCACGCGGGGTGGCCGCGGCCCTTCTGGTGGGAGCCGCCCGGGGCCCTTTGACCTATAGCAGGAAAGGCTTCCGCAAGGGCCCCTGGGCCTCTCACTGAGTGCCTGCTCCTCTCCTTAGGTTTGGGAGAAGTTCCTAAGTTCCGAAAGTCCACGAGTCAACGTATTCATGGCGGTGCCCACGGTTTACGCCAAGCTGATCGAGTACCACGACGCACACTTTGCCCAGCCGCACGTCCGGGACTTTGTGCGTGCAGCATGCAGGGAGAGGATCAGGTAACGGGGAGCCCACTGACCTGCCCACGTCTGAGGTCAGCACGTGGCACGTCCATGGGCCCGTCCTGCCGCACGTCAGGCCATGGCCTCCACCTCCGTGAGCAGCAGGTCCGTGTCTGTCACCGCTCCAGCTCACCCACTTCGGGGTCACTGCCTCTGCCCTCCGTAGGTCTGTCCCTCCTCCTGTGTCGCTGTCCCTCCTGTCTCTGCCCTCCATATCTCTCTCCCTCCTCCTGTCTCTCCATCCCCCCGTCTCTGCCCTCCTCATCTCTGTCCCTCCTCCTATCTCTCCGTCTCCCCGTCTCTGCCCTCCTCATCTCTCTCCCTCCTCCTGTCTCTCCATCCCCCCGTCTCTGCCCTCCTCATCTCTGTCCCTCCTCCTGTCTCTGCTGTCCATATCTCTGTCCCTCCTCCTATCTCTCCGTCGCCCCGTCTCTGCCCTCCTCATCTCTGGCCCTCCTCCTGTCTCTCCATCCCCCCGTCTCTGCCCTCCTCATCCCTGTCCCTCCTCCTGTGTCGCTGTCCCTCCTGTCTCTGCCCTCTGTATCGCTGCCCCTCCTCCTGTCTCTGTCCCTCCTGTCTGTGTCCCGCTTGTCTCTGTCCTCCATGTCTCTGTCTCCGTCTCCCTGACGTCCATGTCTAGTCTCGGCCCTGCCCCCTGTGCCCCTGACATGCCAAGTGGAGCTGGCCGAGGCGAGGTTGGTGGGCTGTTCCCCTCGCTCCCACTGGCGCTGACCAGCTGCCATGGCTCTGGCCTCCACTGTGTCCTCTATGTCCCTGGGCAGCGTCTGCTGCTTCTCCTGCCACGTGTCCACCTGGCCAGTTGAGTTGTGCCACTGTGACCGGCCGGGTCCTCTGGTGCTGGCCCCTCCCCCTGGACCTGTGGACGGGGCAGGCGTTGGTCCCTGCTTCTCGCCGAGGTGACGACCACTGGTCAGGGACTCGGGTGGTCAGGGACACGGGTGGTCAGGGACACGGGTGAGGGCCGTTCGGCCGTGCGGGGGAGGGTGCTGTGAGCACAGGCAGGGGTGAGTGGGGCTGACTGCGTCCAGTCTGCGCAACCCCGCTTCCCGCTGCGACCCCCGTGTGTGTCCTGTGGCTGCTGAGCCCAGGTGTGCACAGGCAGTGGCCCCTCATTTCCTGGGGAGAATTCTGGGCTCTCCGGGGCAAATGCTGGTCCATCTTCCACCGTTGCCCACGAGGACGTGCCGAGGAGACAGACACCTGTCCCGACGTAGCTGTGGC